TCCTTGCAACTGATGGATGAACGCCGGTCCATTCCGGCTGGCAGCGAATACAGCAATAAGCGAAAGGAGCTGACGCGCAAGATAAGACAGTGTTTACGTAAAAACCGCGAAGCCTGGTGGTCAGAACGTGAGGGTGAGATGGAGTCAGCTGCTGCATCTGGCAACAGTCGGAAGCTGTTCCAACTCATCCGAGCCACCGGCAGCAAGGAACAAGGTGTCAGCTAGATGGTCTGTAAGGCAGATGCCTCGCCAATTACCAGCTGGAACGCTGGCCAGAGAACTTCGGGAAACAGTTTAGCTGGCCACCAGCTTCAATGTTTGCTGTCATTAGCCCCAGTGCTCCTTGGTCGGTTAATACCAACCCACCCACCGAAGCGGAGGTCCGTAAGGAACTCCAAGTGTTAAAACGCCATGAGGCGCCCGGCCCGGACAATTTCCCTCTGGCTCTTTTTAAAGATGGTGGCGAAACTCTGGGTTGTTCAGGAAGGTATGGGAAACTGAGAGTGTACCATCAATGTGGAACGAAGCCATCATCGTCCCCGTTTTTGAAAAGGGTCGACGTAGCTCGTGTGACAATCATAGGGGTATCAGTCTGCTACCAGTCGCGTCTAAATTATTGGCTTCTGTCTTGTTTCGCAGGCTGTGCAAAATACGTGAAGGATTGATTCGCGAAGAGCAGGCTGGGTTTCGTTCAGGTCGTGGATGCATTGATCATGTGTTCACCCTTCGTCAGTTGTTGGAACACCGCCACACATTTTGCAGGCCAACGATCGTTGTGTTTCCTGATATTATTGCTGCCTTCGATTCGTTGGACAGAACTGTGCTCTGAAACTGTCTGTTAGAGAGTTGTACCTGAGAAATTTGTTAACATCTTGAAAGTTTTATATAAAAACACCTCAGGTAGAGCGAGGGCACACAACCAACTACCATCACTGTTCCCAACCAACAGTGGGGTTAGACAGGGTTGCTCAGTCTTTCCATTTCTCTTTAACTTTGCCATCGATGACATTCTGGAGTCAGCTCTGAAGGATGTGTGTGAAGGTGGTGTAGATCTGCTACCTGGAGATAGACTTTTCGACCTCGAGTATGCAGACGATATCGTCTTACTGTGCGATAGCATGCAGGCTGCCCAAATCGCACTTAATCAGTTGGTGATCTGTGTCTGTAAGTATGGTATGTGCTTTGCACCGTCTAAGTGCAAAGTACTGTTACAAGATTGGCAGGAGCCTGTACCTGCGCTCACTCTTGCGGGTGAACCGCTTGAAGTTGTTGATAAGTTTGTGTACCTGGGTAGTTGTGTGAGTGCTGGCGGAGGGGTGACGGATGAGATTTTCAACCGTATAATGAAGGCCAGGGTGGCATACATCAACTTGTGCCACCTCTGACGCCGTCGCGACGTTAGCCTGGCTGTCAAAGGTCGGGTATACAATGCCTCGGTGCGGGCTGTCTTGCTCTACGCCTGTGAAACCTGGCCTCTTTGAGCTGAGGATGTGCGGCGACTCCGTGTGTTGGATCATCGCTGTCTCCGCAGGATTGATTGCGTTCGATGGTATCATAGTGTGAGTAATTCTAAGGTCCGGTGGCGTGTGTTTGAACACAGTGGAGATCACCATTCATTGAGTGTCGTCATCTGGAAACACCAGCTCCGGTGGCTTGGACATGTGCTGCGAATGTCATCCCAGAGGCTTCCGTACAGGTCTCTGTTCGCTAGCCCTGGGACGAGATGGAAAAGGCGGAGGGGTGGTCAGTCCATGACGTGGCGTCGTGGGATGAAGGATATTTGTGCTAGATTAGCATCGGTTGGTGTGTCACGACTCCCTGGTTGGGGTCCGCGAGATAGCTCAAATCGATGGCTCGAAACGTTATCGGATATGGCCAAGAATCGTAACCAATGGTGAACGTGTTGCAATTTCCATCTTTCTTCCCTTCCTGATGATAGTTGACGAATACTGTCTGAACTTGTTAAACATGACTGTTTCCCTTCCAGATGAAGTTCTTTATCCGTTTTCTACTTATATTTTTACTTTTGATCTATGTTGTTTTATTATTATTGTGTTGCGCATCTTTCTTGGTGCCATATTGTACCAAGTTTTTTATGCGTTTAAATAATAAAAAAACCCTGATTTCATTGCAATTTTCTATATTTGCGCTGCGCTATTTCAATTGTAGATGATGATTCAATGGCTAACTTGATCCTCCACTTAATTGCTTTAAACTCATTATGCGAATATATGCAAGTAAATGCTTTGCAGTGGTCGAGGTGTTTCGAGATTATATAAGCCATCGGTGTCAACCACTTTAAATCTAGTTACACTTCCATGTTCTGATAACCTAACTGGTGCCGATCTACTAATATATGACTTCTCTACCATGGTATTTGGCAAATCACATTACTTTTCTCGATTAAATACAACTATAGAACACCATTTAGCTTACTATGTTTCTAGAAACCACTCCAATAATAAGCTCTAGTGATTGATGGCTGTCACACTAAGCGAATAATTACTCACTTTCTTCCTCCCTATTTATTGATGCTAATTCTGACAAGGCCACGTTTAAATAGCTTTTAATTCTCGCCATGTTCCAGGTCCACCAGTATCAGTCAACTTGTAACAACTTCTTTGGATAGGCTTACATGTTATCAACTGCTTTAATGGTAAACTGGTTACCTTACCGGACGCTTCCAGTGAAGTACAAAACAGCAGGTTGGTGAAAGCTTCGTCACTTCAATCTCAGGCATATATGTGTGCGCTGATTAATTTACGCAGGTAATATATGAAGAGCTTCAGTCACTTATTCATCATCCGCTTGTACTTATTATTGGTGTTCTGTCAGAAGAAGGCAAACGAGTAAATATCTACCCTCATTAATGAAGAAGATCGTAGCAGATGACTATCGTTGTTATTTTGTCATCAATCGATTCTCTCAATACAACTTCCTAACGGACTTAAAGACCGTCTATAATTGTGACTACATCTAGGTATTTTGCCACGACTTTGACACCTTATCGACATTTACTAAGACCAATCTTCAGTCAGTCACTTGGTATGCAAGAGGAGATAACTAGGAGTATGGAGGTATTTTTTATTACTCTCATGGTATCCATTCCAGCTGAACTGTTAGCAGCAGAACTCAGAAAAACACTAATGAACTCCTTGAAAGTATAACTTCTCATTTCATTAGTAAGGTCTATCGTCTGATGTGAAAGAGTACGAATACTGGAAGCTTCTTCAGTATAGTTTTTTTTAACGAGACGATGTATAGTGTGTTTGGTTTGAAGAACATTAAAAAGTGAAGTTGGAAACAGAAGTTGAATTAGCTCTGCATGACGTTACGTTAGTGATAAGTAGTTATTTTGGGGCCAAATCCATAGAATGTTGCAATCAATCAAGAGAAATAAATTTCGAGTCGACATTTTCTCTTACAGACACGCTTTTTCATGGTAATCCCGATTCCCATATCGACCATCTTGTCCCCAACATAGTGTGAGCAACTGAACAAATGATGGAGTTGCACTTTTAGTTTACCCACTATTCAGTTGACTCTTCTTGACCGGGTAGGTGAGGCTTGAACTTAGACAGTTTATTAGGTCATTGAAATATGCAATTCCTACGACTGCTTCAAGACAGCAAATATCGGTCATCATGTGAACACCTAATAGAAAGTATCATAATATTAACTTTTGCAGGCAGTCACACAACAGTAAATAAGAATAATTAGTTTGTAGTAGCGTCTGTGGACAGAAAAGCATTTATTCTATATCAGCATCAGTATGAACCACCCCCCCCCCAAAAAAAAACATGTGAACAATTTTAAGCTTCCATTGATGAAAAGAATACATATGAAAACAACTAGTGTACATACGTACGTACGCACAATTTAAGGTTTTCGGAATGTTACGGTGGTGGTAATTTACAATTTACAAGTATATATTATTAATTCACTATACATACACCATTTTATCACATATTTAACACGTGAGAATCACAGTCTACACAATTATAATTGTTTCTCATTATTTACGTTGAACAAGCGTTGAAAGATATTTGACATGAGCCATTACCTCTGCCTACAAAAGCAGAAATAGAAACACAGAGAAAAATGTCAGCATTATTTTGAAAATTAACGCATTCCATTTTTAGGCATAATTCACTGTCAATATTAAACGATACTATCAATACACACACACACACACACACACACACACACACACACACACACACGAGATGTAATCATCAACATTGAACAAAGAAACTGAGTATTATCTCTCTATACATATTTCTACTAATGATTGTATTGTCAGATATGGTTAATGATACCAGATTAGTTCAGCAACGATGACATGCAATCTATCTGTCTCCTTTACAGCACATTATCCAATAAGCTGCTAAGCTCTCAGTTTGCCGTCAACAGGTCACGAGTTCGACTGCCAGCTCCGCCTACTTCAGCATCGGGCAACTAACTACGTAGTAGTATTGTGGCGAGAGCTGTCTGCAAGCCAAAAATTGTAGACAAAAATTTACTTCCCGAATTGGGGTCATGAGAAAAAACAATAACAAAGCTTAACCTTGAAGAAGTCACCGACCAATCACAACAGACTTAACGTGTGCAAATACGATTCGCAGATACATGGCGTGACTTTCTAAGAAACGGCCACAAGGACATGACAGAATAACCTTCAGCAAGAAAACAACCGATTTGAAGAGGTTGATTCTCCGCTAACAATAACGCTAACAACAGTGTTCATTAAAAACTATATCTCTTGATTTTCTCAATAAACGATCTGTTGCCTGGCCCTTGTCTTTTGTCGTTACAATATTATTTAGCTTTTACAGCCAACTACTTGAAGAATCTGTTCTGGATAAGATGGAGCCTAAACATCTCATAGTTGCAATGACTGTTAAGAAAGTTTTTTTTTCACTAAAATTAGAAAACAATTGTTCAGTCAGTAGTGGTTGGATTGATTAAAAACTTTGATACTGATAAACTATATTTCTCCATTAAGGTTTATTTTCCTTCTCTAAGATAATACCATGACAACACTTTTGTTGTGAATCCTAAAGTACAGATAAAGGAAATAGAAAAAAAAACGAGCAAACTTTTTCATGATATTTTAAGGAAGCTTTGAAAACTGATTGAGTATTCAACATACAACTTTGAACAGAAGTGCACCAATTCAGCTTGCCGCACACCATGCAGCACACAAAGGAAGACAAAAGATATTTAAAAGGAACTATACTGATCAGAAATGTACAGGAGAAAGAAAAGAAATATGGAAAACCCTCAGAATTTAATAGATCTCGAGGATTACAAAAATAATGAATGCATCTAAGCTATTGAAAAGCAATTTTGAGCCTTATCATCATCAACAGTCTCCACCGACTGGATCTTAGCATCTTGAATATCTCCCAACCATGTAGTTTACACCTCACCTCTCTCTACGTGACCGGCTCAAACCAAAAATCAACGACTTCATGAGTTTATTCCACCAAGTTTTATTTGACCCTCCTTAACTATTTTTCAACCTAATCTGAAGTCAACTAATCTTCGTCGACTAAGAAGTTGATGGGCTTGGCGTATGCAACACTTACCCTAAGTATCTCAATCGATGTAGTTTCACAACCTCATCGACTGACTCGCCCCCACCCCTAATTAACTCACATTCTACATTTAACCTTAACACTTATCCCCATATTACACCACTTAACACGGAAAATAGAACACAGAAATTTGTAGTATCAAAGACAGATAGCCTTTTCATAGCATCCATTTCCAATAGCCACGTTTCACATCAATAAGAAACGGCGGAGAGAACTGCTGAGCAGTACACATACATCCTGTAACTGACCGCGAGATGTCACGTGCCACACATTGAATAAAAAAGAATCTTAAGTTTAAAAAGTGGGACTGAATGCACCATATTATTCAAAATTAACAAATGCTATGCAAACAGCAACATATTACCTTTGTTCTTGTAGGAATACATTCGGTGATCCGATCCCATCGTTCCGGTGTTCCCTTGCCAATAGAGCGGATAGCAATTTCAAGCTGTTGTTGTTCTACTTTAGTCCATCCATCATCACTTTTAACAGGTTTACGTTCTACAGGCTTCGAGGTAGTGACATCTTTTTGTTGTTTAAGCTTTTTACGGCTCATATATGGTTCATCGATAACAACAACATCTGGAAATAATTCATAGTAAGTAAGTAAGTACACGATTTGATTCAACATAAGGAAAAATTAGATTTGCAAAATAAACTGAATTTGTTTTGAGAAAAAGAAGACGAAGAAACAGGAATAATTAGTTCAGCCTTATTTTTGACATATACACCACCTATATGGGGATTTAGGGTGAGAATAGAAGTGAATGCAAGGTGTTTTCGCGCATAGTATAGTAAAAGTCACAATAGAGAGACGTTTCGCAGCTGTTTGAAAAAAAGTCAATAAACGACAAGACTACTTGATCCAAAGATAAGATCGTGTTGTGGTAGTTTCCGTTGGAGATGAGTGATGAGAACAGTAAGCCCACGAATCTACTAGTTAGGAAGTTCAACACAGCACATGAGGAGACTCGTAAATTACCAGGTTGTATTGACAGTCATATCAGTTACTCCGGGAAGCGAGGAATGAAAACAAAACTGTTTACGTTTCCACAAGTTTAGTTAGCTGTTAAACACAATAACCCTTATCTGTCAAATGATCAACATAAAAGAATCTGTCACCCAGCAATTACGGTGCGCTCACATCCCAATCGCTGATAAAACGAAAGCCAAAATGCCTAAGAAGCTGGGTAAATCATGTAATGACAATCAACTTGTAACTCTTTTCCGTGTAAATCCAGAGAAATATGTCATCGATATAAGTATAAAACTTGGGCAATTTGGTAGAGTACAACTCCATTATAGATAGGATTGTATTTTGATAAATCACACAGTGTTGAGTCATTTCTGTTGCATGTGTTGGGTGTAGACTCGATGAACCAGGATTCAGTAATCAATCTCTCTCTCTCTTTCCACCTACCTATATTACTTTTTAGAATTTTGACTCTGTCCCACCCTATTGTGTGGTTGTGTGTTAATGCATGCAGTACAATCGCTGAGCTTTTTTCTAAATTACTTATCTTCATGGGATCAATCATTCTAACCTTATCTGAATTCTTATGTTTGGATAATTTCACTGCTCCTGATCTGTAAAGGCTGGTTTAGTTAAGTGTCTAACAAACCGAGCAATAGAACTAAGTAGTACAACAAAAAACCTAAACGATGAAATGAAACAAATAGACGAGGAACCGTTGGAGTTAAATAACTACCCTATAAAATTCATTAGGAATATCAAAAATGGTCAAAATAAAAATAATGGTGAAACTAACAATGATAACATAAATAAGAAAGAATATAAGGCATCTACAGTTTTACCATATAAGGAAGGGATACCTGAAAGCCTACTTAGGATTCTCAAAAAAGCAGGAATTAGGGTGGCATTCAAACCTACAAACTCACTCAGAGACAAGCTCTGTAGGCTAAAGGACCCGGTGGACCCAATTAAACAAAATAATATAATTTACAAAATACCTTGCAATGACTGTGAGTTAGGTCAACTACATAAGTCAAACTAGTAGATCGGGGGTAGTGAGATTCTCAGAACATAAGAATTTAGATAAGGTTAGAATGATTGATCCCATGGAGAGAAGTAATTTCGAAGAAATCTCAGCAATCACACTGCATGCATTAACACACAACCACACAATAGAGTGGGACAGAGTCAAAATTCTAAAGAGTAATGTAGGTAGGTGGAGAGCGAGAGAGATTGATTACTGAATCCTGGTTCATCGAGTCTACACCCAACACATGCAATAGAAGTGACTCAACGCAAATACCAGAGATATGGAAGATATTATTACCAGTCAAATCAGAGGATAATAAATAATGTTAAAGTGTATTCAATTCACATTTTAACAATTTGTTTATTGTATAATAAAAAGCATCTTATTTCCCATTTTATTGTATTTTGTTGATAACACTAATATTATTTCTGAATGTACTTTATCTTATATTTGATTTTATTCAAATGTCTAATCAATTGTACTCATGTACATAAATGAAGCAACAAAGTTGTGAGTGAGTGACTTCATACGATTATGAGTGGCAATAATTTGTGCTGGAAATATCATCATCAGTAAATATTACTGTACAACACTGTGTGATTTATCAAAATGAAATCTTATCCATAATGAAATAATGTCATCGACCTATCTTCCATAACACTTTCCTTATTACAGAAACAAGCCTTATTACTTGGACTTAAATTTTGCGTTCCTCAAAGGTATTTCTCAACATTTGAAATCCATGCACAATTTGAAAATCTATACAGCCAATTGACACCTTTTGATGATCAATCATGGTTGATTCAAAGCTAAGTTAGTTGACATTGCTCACCTATTCTACAATGGTTGTACAATTCAGAATAGCATCCCAATGTCTGAGCACTTTAAAACTCTAAAAGAACTGAAACATAATAATGAAATCGTTATCCTCAGACTAGCTAAAGGTTTTGGTGTAGTTGTAATGGACATAATTGAATACAAATAAGGACAAATTCACCAAGGACTCCACCTCAGAAGATCTGAGGACTGCGCAAAATAAGGGTGACAAATAGTCTAGTAAAACTCTTAAACATGAGTGCGATTAATAGAAAGAGAAATTCAATTCATCATTAAAATCCACGGAATCCCAAAAACACACACACCTGACATTCCTCTCGAAACTACCATCCACCGAACTATTAAATAATGCACTACACTAAGAAAAACTAATTAAAAAACATTCCAAACCAAGAGATTAGAATCTACGGGTTTTTGAAGCTAACTAAAGAAACATTTGTCGACTCCACGACTGGTTCCCCGAGAATAAAAGTGATCCTTTACAATGAATAACACTGTCAATTAAGTACTGTTGACACAGCAGTACACACACTGCTTCCGTTTTATAATTAGTATGAATCCGTACCAATTATCTTCAAACTAACCGATCTTTCACTCGCATAAAAAAAAATCATCCACGCCCAGTTAATAACTTAACTTAATGATCCAGCAGCTTAAACAGTTCAGACTAATGGAAGACTATTAGAAAAAAAAGAATAAATTACCAGAGGTGGGATCATCATTCTTATCAATTTGATCCGGATCCTCGTCAGTTTCATCATCCTCTTGAATGACTGATACATTTTCCTCTTTTCGTCTCAATTGACGTTTTCGAAGTCTTTTCTTTGATACATTTTTCTCCTCTGAGTCGTCAGATTCATTGTCACTTAGTTCAGAATCGGTTTCACCACAAACTGGATTGACATTGGTCTCGAAAACGGGGATTTCGTCAGTATTAATATCTAAAATTCAAAGAAAATAATAAGGAAAAATTAACTACTACTAAAATGTAAAAAGAAATAGTGTGACTGAAGTTGGTTTAGAATTGTACAAAATAATTTGGAACATTTTCTTAGAATGTCTAGTAAAATAATCACTTAAATCATACATGACTGACTGAGTTTCACAATTGACCACGGAATTAAATGGGTTAGAGAACCACTGAAAACCAGGGGAGTACTAGAAAGCTGTTTTGTCGGGAGTACGCGCCCATTGGATTTCGAAACCAGGACCTTCCGGTTACAAGGCGAGCTCAGTGCCAACGTTGAACCTTACCACACTCCATGTAGCACACGGTGGTTGAAAAAAAAGAAAATCCAGGAGAACTATCATAGATAGACAGGACAATAACACGGAGAAACGTGAGGACTTAATGGACCTAGGAGATTACAAATCGGTCGGTCGGTTTTCGACATAGAACTTTGCACATATGCGCGGCAGTTCAAGTCGCCACACTCCATGTAGCACACAAAGCAAGAGAAGAAAGTAGGAGAAATGCACAATAGAGACAGTAAACAGAGGTGTGAGAAAAAGGAATAGTAATAACGAAGAACAATATAGTTTCATTGGAAATCATAAGTCACAAGGAGTGGATGCATCTGCGCCATTGAGAACGATTTTGAGCCATGTCACCAATTGTTTCCAACCATTGGTTTTTACCGTCCCGAGGACCCCAACCAGGAAGTCTACACCTTCCTACGTGGCTGGCTTAAACTAACTGTTGTGGATTTCATTGACTGGTGCCATGTTTTCGTTTGACCGCCGCTAGCTCTTTTCCAGCCTGACCCTATATCAGCTAACATTGCCCGTCGAGGAAGGCGATGACTAGGCATACGTACAAATAGTAAATGCGTCTGCGCACTCGACAATGATTTTGAGCTATTTCACCAACAGTCTCAAACAATTGACTCTTAGCATCCTGAAGACCCCAACCAGATGGTCTACACATCCCTGTGTGGCTCAAACCAACAGTCAAAGACTACAGATTCGTGCCAGGCTCGATTTCATTAAAGCTAACACTTTTCCAACTTAATCTCATGTCTTCTGAGATTTCTTAATGAGGTAGGCGGTGGTTCAACATACATAACACGTGTCCTCCCTAGCCATTTCAATTGACTCACCTTCACAACCTTAACGATTTTGACTCCTCCTCCTCCTTTTCGTTCTCTAACACTGTACGGTATTATTTTATTTTTTAAAGTTTTATTCCTTTGCGTCCTCAGTGGGCCATAGGGCTTCAAGCTAGAGCTTTGAATTTTCGGTAGCAGTACTTTTATCTTCACGGGGTGGGGTTACTAACCTCAACGCCCAACTTTCCCTCTTTACCAGTCTTGCGACCGGTTAAGAGAGGTAAAGGAGTGTGCCGGCCAGGTATCAAACCCCAGACCACTTGCTTGGTTGGACAGTGTTGTATCACTGGACCACCGATGCACAACACTGTACGCCTAATTTTAATATTACTTATCATATTATAACCAATTAACACGAGAGACAGACTGCAGACACCCACAATCACAGACAGCTAGCTAGCCTTTTTATATCCTCCACTTTTGAATGGCCAACGTAAATCATACCAACAGACGGGAAATTTTTCTATCGGACATCATGTGCTTAACACGAGAAAAGCCAACAAGATAAGGGGTGACTGAAACAAACGGGAAAAATGAACAAAAGTGAAAAAGAAATGAATAAGTAGACGCTAATGTTTGGCTGAACCCATAGAATTTCTTTCAGACAGGTCATGTTATTAAATCATCTCAGTAAATCAGTAGAGCAACCAAAATCTATAATATTAATGTCTTTCTTGTCCACACAAAAACCTAGTAGGATCTTGGTAGAAAGACCTTAGTATCCTCAAACGTTTAATTCTTAAAAGATAATAGTAGGCTGAAATTGTTCAAATGATAACGAAAGCTTATTACAAGCATATTAACAAAAGTTAGAAAAACAACAGAGGAGATATACAGTTCAGGGTGGGAGTGGAAAGTGTTTGGAGGTTTCTCAGCCTTGTTGATATCACCAAAACTTGTTGATAAAACTCAACAGCATTCAAGAAGTAGTTCACTACTTTATGTCACTTTTAGAAAGAGAAGAAAGGCGGAAATCGCAACAACTTCGCGTCACTGATTCGAATTATATCTCAGGCGCCAAACCAAGGAGCTATGAAGCACCAACAGACGATATTCTAACACAATGATCCTTTATCCCACCTACTCCACGCCAGTGACTGGCTTTTAGGTGCCAGAGTTAGTATACAGTGAGCGGTATGGAAGCTGCAAACAATTCTACATAGGCAGCGATGATGAAATACGTAAAGCTCAGACAGGTAAAATTTCACAGGTGTGTTAAGCAAACACTCGCACAAATAATGGAACAACAGGACACAAATATGCTGCAGCAGTGAAATGTATTACGATACTGTGACAATACATTTCAAAATTGCACTCTATAGATAATATGTTGAATCGTTTGTCTTTTCTGTAAACCATATTCATTATGCAGTATTACTAACAAAAATTGTAGGTGAACTAAAATATGATAAAAATTTATTCTATGTAAATACATAAATGTCTCAAAAACCAAAAGTTACAATTGTTACAGCCTAATGCGCTTTGGGAATAACTACTCTCTATATACTCTATTTGTCACACTATGCGTGGCTTATACGTGACATATGACGCAACATAATGGTGAGTGAAATTTACAAAACCAATTTATGTTAAGTGACTTTTATACAAATACAAACTTGGTACAGTAAAGGGACTAAGAAATGCGTCATGTTAAAAATATAACAATAAGAGAGAGAGAGAGAGAAAACGAAGTAGCTGAGGACTAACACATGATGAACAGTGAGGTATTCTTATTCAACGGAGCCAGTGTCTGTTATTGTATTTAGGTGAAAACTAAAGAACACTGTGACTTGATTACTACTACTGTTGCTGCTTTTAATTCAAAGCCATATTTGAAAACATCTCAAGCAAATCAATATTACAGATCTCTAGAATGTTATCCAACAGGTGTTAACACAATACAATCATATCATGGTGAAACATCGTAGGCTGGTAAACTGCTCTCTTCTTTATAACCAGTTTTAGAGCTTTGCTAGTAGTGGTGTGGCAAGTGCTACTGATAGGATTTTGTAAGTAGTATATTGTTAATGATGTCTTCTATAATGATACTAAATAGTAGAGGGATGCATAGCGAAGACAAAAGAAGCACAATACGAAGACCATGTGCTATTTGTGATTCTAATGTAAGAGATATATATATATATATGTGTCAAGTTTGACAAGGGATTGATATCAGTTGGAGAACCATCGGAAACCAGGGGATACTGGACACCTGTTCTGTCCTAGTTTGGGACTCATCGACAGTATGCACCCTCTGGGGTTCGGACCAAGGATATTCCGGCTGCAAGGCAATTTCATTGACAGATCCAATTCAAATCCCTACAAACCAACTCATATATTTCTTGCCATATCTATGCATCAATTTGCCAATGAACAATCCCCGCTACCAATTACTACTGTGTTGCTCTGTCATAGTGGAATTTGACAAATCACAGATAAGAATCCTGTGAGTGTGTTGATATTTTACTAACGAACAATGAAATGATGTTTGTGGTACGTTGTGGTGTACAATTTAAACTAGGAAACAGAAACTGTGTGAGATATAAGAGGTTTTATCCTTAATATATTGAAGTCCGTAGAGGTAATTTTCATTTACTTACGTACTGTACTTAAAATTAATCAATATTTTACAGTGGAATATTACTAACAGAAGTCTAATTGTTTAAAAGACTTTTTGGCACTACATTCTTAAATATTTTCATAATTCAAATAAATAGTTAAGAAAAGTGAAAAAGAAACTCAATTAATTTTTAATTAATAATACAATGGCTAATTGTATTTACAGATATTAGAAACAATCCATTTACATTGACCTCGATAGTCGTATTATTTTAGCAAACAGGAGAGGAACTAAATAGTTTGGTGGATGGTGATTGTAAGTAGAATCCAGGATGCACGCTTCGTCCTATTTCGGACTCGTAAACTGGATGTACCTGCAGTCCCCAGTGAGTAGTGGTGGTATTCCCACTGAAACTTGGACCCAGTATCCTTTATTCCAAACTTAAAACCATCCCCAACTGGACCACGAGAGCTATTATGATCCAATCAATCAGCGGGAGAATCAAAAACTGACTTAAAATATATAAAGAGAGGAGCTAATTCAAATTTCATATTTTCCAAAGGTTTATTGACTAGACGTTCACTCATGGTCAAAGTTTTGAAACTTGCCTGAAAGAAAACAGGAGGAACAAGCTTCATGTAATTCCCCCTACACAATGACGACAAGCGGATGGTCACACCACGAACACCTAGTATCTCAATTCTTTTATTTCTAATGGTACACTACAATTACCATTAGTCTTTCAAATAGTATCTTTTTCGTCTAAACATCTTCTACTTTAAATTAAAGTTTGCAGATTTGAAAGTTTTAATAGGTGAAAATGCTGAAAGGATTGAATAAAAGTTTGAAAGCACCTACCGTTAGACATATTTTGTGACAATAGAGTGAAGTATACGGATAAAACATACTCATTGAAACAAATTTGTGACCAAGCGTTTAAAGTGAAATAAAAAGTCAATCAAATACTTCTGAATTACCTATACAATCCACTGCAACCTCTATCATAAATTGGTCATTTCAGCGCAATTAAATGTTATATCCATATTAGTACAACTGTGCAGTTTAATGGTAATAATTATATAGCAAGAAGCGTGGAATTGTACCTGCAGCCTTATTTAATACATACTGCTGCGATATGTAAGCGACATGGTACGGCTGAGAGTACGTACACTTCGGTTTTCCTCTCGAAATGCTTTCACATGGTCACACGTTCATACCTTCTGCCAGGTAAGCTCTGTTCACTGCCTTCACATGGCGACAGGGTGTCCTTCACAAAAGTGAATTCAAACGTCTGGCGCTTATAACCAGACTTGTGGACGTGCAGGTCTACCTAGGGGCGTTAGAAAACTCAGATCCCCAACATAACATATACATGGGCTTCAAAATCGGAACGGATCGAATGGCGTATTGAAAATGTTTTGGCCACCGGAAACCATTGAAATGCAGCTCCACTGCCTTGTGGATCAGACTTCCAGTCAAGCTCGAGAGTGGCTTCTTACGACAATCATCTGCTTCGATCTGGCCGTCTGGGTATTAATTCAGACCTCGCACAATCTGAGGTTTTGTGTGGCACATGTCTTAATACCCATAATGTACCAAGTTTTTTTTTTATGCATAAATAATAAATACTGTGTTATCATAGGTAAAACCGAATCAACAAACTAACTAATAAAATCCGTTGAGAATTATCTTTTTAGCCACACTTGTAGATGTTCCCGAACACGTAAAATCAAGTTCCTAGAGTAACAGCTAATATAACTCGCTCGTTAATATATTTTAAAATTAATCTACCGTTAATCTATCTAGTGTACTGAATAACCTCAATGAACTGTTCTTTGTTACTCTACAATTGTAAGAATCATCCACCGCATCAAGTGGCTTCTAAGTATCTTTTATATATAGTTGGAGCATTCGACTAAAACGATGAAGTGAACGATAAGCCTCTAGGCCAAAGGCTATAAATTAGCTGTCAAAAGACAAAATATGTATGCTTGCATATCGATACACGTAGACAAATACGGACATCAAATTGATTGCGAGGATGTAGAAATCTTAAATAGTGGAAACACCACAAAAATGCCAGGGAATTTCTAGAAGCCTGGTAGTCAGATGAATCAGCGATCAACAAACAAACTACTATGGACCAAATTCACCAAATAATAAAAAACAAACCACGATAAAAAGTTAAAATTTTAAGTCAATAAAAACGATAAATACTTATGAGAATTAAATACCCAATCACAATAAAGGTTGTTAGGAGATACAATTAAATTACTCATGGAGAATTCCAATCAGTTCACTTTATATGAAAGCTTGAGCTGAAGTTATTGTCTAGAAGGGCAACGAAAGCTTTCCAATTATAAATCAACCAATTCAAAGAAACCAAACAAATTAAAGTGGTGAACTCTCTTGATATTACGCTAAGTGCGACGACAGAATCAATTTTGAGCCCTTAACTATCTCGAGTAGGACTTCAAAGAGATTGATACGAAGTTACGGTGATTTTTTAAGCCTTAAAAGGGTCTAAATGTTTAGAGGACAAAAGGTGACGAGTTTTTTTAAAAGAAATCACCAGTCAATAATACAATTTACATGAGGGGTGGAAGTTAATCAACATAATTTTTCTTCTGGAAGTTGTAAAAATGCCTAGAATAATACTAATAATTTGCTTTCTTCGGAAACAGTACTTATGATACAGTGTGGAATTCTCAGCATCTAGCACAATATTGTACCTAATTTACTCAACAACAATAGAAAAAATTAGTGTATAAGCAACCAGAATTGATAATAGCCGCTTTTTGGTATTAATAGCGACAATAAAGTAAAAAATGTATAAAAAGTGTAAAATAATGATAATAATGTTAACAGCTAAAATTATAAGTTAATTAAAATAGTATTGGTTTTGTAGGAATTTAGTTTGATTGGATGGAGGATTTCATCATGAGCTGACATCAGTTAGAGAACCGCTGGAAAACCTGGGAGTACTGGACAGCTGTTTCGTCCTAGTTTGGGACTCTTCATCAGTACGCAGCCACCACCAGAGTTCGAAACACAGGACTTTCTGGTTACAAGGCGAGCTCGTAGACTATTGAGCCACTGGGACTCGATCCAATGGCCAGCCCATGAATTCTAACTTCTGCCAATTCACGACATAGCGCGACCATTTCGTAATGTCTTCCTCAATGAGTTACTGCCTCATCTTCAACCTGATGTACCATACTGGTCACGGCTGCCAGGTTTTTCAGTGGTTCTCTAACTGATTTCAGCTCACGATGAAATCCTCCATCCAATTAAAATAGTATCACCATAAAATTACAAATGGGAGAGAATAAAAGAGACAATTATTTTGCGAATTGCATAGTTATAAGTTTCATGCTTAACACTGCCTCAATCACAAAGAATAAGGGCCAAATAGGGTATCTTTGAGTTTTTGCGCCTGGTTGTGCGAGCGAGTATATAATCTTCTATAATAACTTCTAGTTCTACCTGATGAGATTCAAGAGAGGGGGGTAGCCTTGAGAATAGCGAGGGTGTTGAGAGTCAGACAATATGGATTTAGACTATTCTACAGATGGGTTTAGGTGTCTATCGACTAAAATCGTAAAGAGTTGACTTAGTGGCACACTACTTGCTCTACAGACAATCTTTAATACCCTCCACGATGTGACACAGTCGTTTTTGAGTAGTCCAGGGAAAACTAAGGGGGGGGGAGCAGTAAACAACAATACGTAAGATGCAAGAGTTAACAAATTGTAAAAATATAGGTTGAGTGATTCTTGATTGTCTTAACTTCCCTATGTAGAAGGTTAGAAGGAACACTTTCTTAGAAATCGACAAGAGATGGTTTGACCAGGAAATATTTGAGGATATAACAATTCCAAGGTATTTTACGCTTGACTTAGTTTCTATTAGTGCTGTCTATGCCACAACCATCATGTGAACGGACCAGTTCATGTAGATCACGTTTATGCCTACAGGTAAAGTTAATTGTCTGACATTTAGAGAGATTTAAGCTGAGACCATTTTTAGTTTAGACCACTGGCTAATATCCGACAAAAAAAACTATTCACTTTGAAACAGTCAGATAGGGAAATAACTGCCAACGAGACCATCAGCGTATATAACGAAGTTGATTTCATCCGAAAGAGGCAATTCATGTAAGAAGAAAGAAAAAAGAAGACGAAGAGAGGAAACAGCACTTTGAGGGAGTCCAGCTTCAGTCCACAGAACTTTGCACCATGTGCAGCAGTTCAACCCCTCATAGTACAAAACAGAAGCAAAGGAAAGCAAGACAGAGGAAAACTTTGTTTTTATAGATATTTATATATACTGCATGCTGTTAAATATTAACTCTAAACAAGGTCTTTAACTGTTTACAAATGTCAGGATAGTGGCTTAAATCTGGAGAAAAATAATACAGAATCTGGTATGTTAGTCTAATTGCTTTATCATCAGAGTAAAGACAATTACTATTATGCCATTATACTTAGAATAGACTTGTTGAAACAAATTGTTTGTAAGAATTAGTTTTATGACTACTAATTATTGTGTCTACCTCACGTTCAATTTTTTTTTATCCTTCGCGTTCCCCAGTGGAACATAGGGCTTCAAGCTAGTGGCTTGAAGTTTCTGTAGCAGTGTCTATTTTACAGGATGGGGTTGCTAGCCTCATGCCCAACCTTTCCTCTTCACTAGCATTATTTCTGACTTAGCGAGGTAAAGGAGTGCGTCGGTGTGACCGGGGATCGAACCCCGGACCATGTGCATGGTCGGCGAGCACCTCATGTTCAATAAAGTGAATTAATTAATACTAAAGTACACGTGACACAAGATACTTTACAACAGAAACTTTTAGATCAGGGATCTAACACGTTTCTTACTATACAAAAAATATCAATAAACATGAATAATCCTATTACTAGCTGAGTTTCCATTTGATGAGTAATTTTTACATACAATTAACAAATAATACGAAAATAAATAACTGCTTTTATCAGACACATGTGAAACTATTCTCACTATCAGAAAAGGCAATACGCCAATCAGATAATGAAACACAATATTTAATTTTTATAAAATTGAATTTTACTTACTTCTTTGAGATATAGACAATAGTTCTTTGCTTAAAGTCTTCGCCTTACGAACAACATCAGGGACACTACGACCTAAAGACTCTGCAATACGTTCCCATCTTCCAGGTACACCACCAGGATATCGAATCACAGCACGGACTAGGTTGTTTACATCGACCTCTGACCACTTAAAAATTATAAAGCATATAAAATATTGATAAACTAAGTTTGATTGGTTTATATATATATATATATATATATATATACATGGTTTCTAGGGCCTAATGACACAATGTACAATAGATGCCCAATATTAACCTACTTTTGGGAATGGATTACGCAACAGAAAGATGTAGGTAAACAATATCATAAGACTCATTATATTCGTAAGAAATGTGGCATACACACAATTGACTGACAGGAGCACAAGTATAAATCTTTTTCCTAAAGTTGCCAGGAATTCAAGTGGTGGATGTTGACTAGCAGTGGAATCCAGGATGCACATTTTTTCCTAGTCACCATCCACCAATTGACTTCAAGTTACATAACCACACATTGTCGAAGCATCTGCACAAGGAGCCGACATATCAACCTAAAATCGAGCACTTCGGTCCAATCAATCGGGGAGGGGGAGATCTAAATTGAACTAAATAGTTGCCTAGGAAGGTATGATATTGCAGTGTACATGTTCAACTTATAAACATTTCGCTATTGGTTTTATCTGACCAAGGCTAGACTGATGGCTCTGTTCTGTTAGGCTAGTAAGCCAGTACCTACATAGAAAGTAAAATGACTTTCCCAATTCAGTCTGTGAACCTGTGACTGACGCATAACAACTCTGTATGAATATGTTGAACACCCACAACACTACTAAAATGGAATATGTGGACCTTTATTAACCAAAGAAAAATGAAATTATCGATTACTAATGTACACAAAATTGAAATTAAGCAGGATGGAATTCGGGTTAATCGGGTCATATTTTTTCTCACCTTATCTATTACATACAACAAAATTTCTATCATATGACTGCATAAATGAAGGTGACTATTATAAATCCATATAGTTGTAGATTATAAGTTGACTACTACACGTTTTGTACTGGTGAGAAATTACAACTCACTACAGAGATACTGAAAAGAAATGTGATTTTGATATCCCTAGATCGTTATATTGCAATCCAGCACAGTTAGGTGAAATCAATAAGGAAAACAAAAGACCAGACCATACAATACTCAATATGCTCCAAAAGCCATTTACCAGTCTTGTTCATTTCTAAAGAAAGTAGAATGTAAATAGCTCCGTAATAGCACTTTTACTGCGATACTGTGAGTGGATCTTTAAATTTCTTAAATATTATGTTTTCAGCTTTAATCACTCCTTCCAGAAAATCCTCAACGTGGACAACTTGATTATCTTAAACCACTCAAATTTTGATCAATACTCACTTCACAGTTTATGTGCAGTTAACATACCACTGAATCTACGTACATTATTTTCTAGGTAAAACAGATAAATTTAGATTATGGATTTTATAGCGATTTCAATTCATTTACATATCAACCACCATTAGTTAGAGAACCACAGAAAACCGTAGTGCACCGAACAGACACTTCGTTATAGTCCGAAACTCTTCAAGAGTGGGTACCCATTTCCCTACCAGAGATCGAACCCAGGGCCTTGAGGTCATGAGGCTATTCATTTCACCCTGGCGTGGATGCTTATCGATAGCATTCGTTAGCGGTAGCGCTGTATATCATAAACTGACAGAAGTTAGAATCCAAGGGTTATTAAATTCTGATCCAGTAACTAAATAGCCAACGGGCTGGCCTCGCAACCTGAAAATCCTGGATTCGATCCATGGTGGGGTTATGGGTGCATAGTGTGTTGAAGAGTCCCAAACTACGATCAAACAGCTGGTCAGCCCCCATGGTTTTCAATAGTTCTGTAACTGATGCTGCTTTGTGACGATATGGACACTACTCTGAAATCATTCAATTCTGTGGGAACCTTCTGACAGAAAAGAATTTCCCAAAATTCAAGTAAAGACCCAGCGAATGATAGGACCAATCAAGTTATTTATAAAGATAATTAACTAACAATAATACTGGATTATCACGCACTACCGCGAAAACAAAAACAGGAATGTCAATACACAAATAACTTTAATTACTACGCCTCTACCAAAGAAAAATAGCCAGTGTAAGACTTTTACTGTTCCAACAGCTCCCATACTGAGCGCTATTTGCTAACAGTGAGACTGAATAAAAGCAGGAAGATCGATGGAGTTTATGAAGTGATATCATGGAGTGAAAGATAGGTGTCAATCCCCTTTGAAAACCATGGAAATCCCTGGTTTCGGACATGATTAAAAAACCAAGTTATTAGGTGATCCTGCTGAAATTCTATTCAGTTTTCCGTACACACGAAGAACTAATTTTACACATAATAAAATCTTTGTCCCAAATAACAAAACGTAATTTAGGGAATGAAAATAAAACATACCTCTTGAAAAATAGGTGTACTCGACTTGTTTTTTGAAGCATCTTCATAACTATCAGTTTCAATATCTGGCAGATCAGTGAGGACAGAGTTTATAGTTGATTGGCCGGCTTCCTTTTCAACTTCTTTGAGAATTGTTTGTTCATGCAGTAAACGACGCTTACGTTCCTGTTTTTCAGCCTTAATTTTTTCTTTGTTTTGCTGGATAACTAAAATATAAAGTAGTGGATAATATGAATTTCTAAATGTTGTTAATGCAAAAGCTTGACTAAAATAACTAATACTTGTACACCAACTTCATGAAATTTACAGTAAGTGGTGGTATATGTGTTAATATTTATCTTAAGATTTTTTCATAAAATTTTGATCAGTCCTTGACCAAGTTTTATACTTAACAAAAACGAAAACCTATCTTTTAATTGACTTGTTTTTTTTCTCTGTTCTCATTTATCTTGAGAAAAAATTATCTCAAAAAAGGAAATGTTCGAAATTCCCACTACTATGTGTTTACGTGCTTTCCTGCAATCAAATCTAGTTTTTCAAAGGAAGTGCACATCTTCCAACTTTGAGAAGCAGATTTCTCTTGTGCTACCTAATTTTCAGTTTAAGGTTGACGTGCGTCATTAGAAATCTGATGATGCAAACACTCACCAGACAACTAAAAGCACAAAAGACCGTCTATCACTATACTTTATATTAGCAGAGGAAAGTAGAATCAACACTACTAAACTAACAAAAACAGTCAGTCAGTCAATCAGACTCTTACCATAAAATGGTGGCCATATGTGGACAATAAATTTTTGAGCGATTATAAAACAAAATGTGTAACCCAAACTGGTATACAAAAGACCTGATCTTGGCAACTAAGTTCCAAACATAAGAAACCTAAAGATAGTCACGATGACAATAATAATCACATAAATCAGGCATAAAATGATAGAATATATAACTCAAAATCCGCAGATAACCCAACTCGCATTATTCTTGCCTTATATCAAGTGAATATTCACACTAGTTGCAGTATGAGACAGAGTACGTTGGCGTTATTCTCAACTTGAGCCCTAAGCTGTATATGAATAGGGCAAGTAGGCTACAATGAGCCCAGAAATGACAACAAATGAATGTTCCAGATAAAAACCACATCAACTGTAAGATGATATCAGTCACGTCTTCGACTAACTACACTGCATGACTAGTTAAGATTAAGAAAAGGTGAAAACTCCTTAGT